CTCCTCATATCTGGGAATCACCTCATATCCCATCCTGGGAGTCACCTCATATCCCACCCTGGAAATCGCCTCATATACCCCCCTGGAAATCGCCTCATATACCCCCCTGGAAATCATCACCTCAGCCCTGGGGATCACCTCAGCCCTCCCGGGGGAACACCGTGGCCCCATCCCACGCCCCCCCGTCCCCCCATGGCAGGGACCACTCACCCCTCCGTGTTTGGGGGCTGCGCCCGCCGCCGGAGGACGAGGCAGACGGCCCCGGTCAGGAGGAGCAGGAGGAGGCAGGAGCCCAGCACCGGCCAGGCCAGCGTCATGTCCTCCAGCGCCCGCTGCATTGGGAGGCCTGGCAGGAGACAGCCCAGCGGGCAGGGGGCATGGGACCACCACCTTCCCTGCCTGCGCCAGGGACCCCAGCCCAGCACCTGTCCCCACCTCCGCTGCGGGTACTGACCACCATCCATCAGCTGGAGGCCACTATCGACGCTTCCCCCCAGTCCGGATCCCTTCTGTAGGCAGTCGGGGGGCTTCCAGCCAGGGTGGCAGTGGCAATGTCTCTTATTATTGCACACCTGAAAAGCCCAGGGCCGGGTGGTAAAAGTTGGTGATGAATTCAACGCAACGGACGCTCCTGCCCAGACCGGCATCAGTCTCGCTGCCGCTGGGTTGGGACAAGGCTACGCGCGCTTAGCAGCACTCTGGCAATTTAGGAAGCGCATCAGACAAGGAATGCACCATAAAGTGCAGGCTCGAAGAGCCTTGAGACATCAGACAAGCATAAAACATCACCCTCCTGCAAAACCCACAGGCACTTCTCTCTGATGAGCAGAAAAGAGGAGCGGCTCGCCCCAGCCACCAGCACTGCAGAGCCAGGCAGTGGTCTGGAGACCCCAGCAGCGCTCCACGCACCACCACGCAACATTTTTTATCTACACTAGCTCCGCTGCCCTCAATAGTTTAAATGGTTTTACTTGGTGTATTAGCTGACAAGGTCGCAATTTTGTTGAGTATCAGCCTAAAATGGGTCTTCGATCAGTTCCCATAGAAGCCCCAGCAAATCTGTACGACAAAGCCACCTGCCCTCCGCAGCACAGTGCGCGCTGCGTGGAATCACTTACGCCATGGCCGTGGCACTTCACTTTGCTGTCACAGTCATATCCCAGGACCGAATGTGGGTGACAAGTGTTGTTTATACACACCTAGGAAAAACCACAAGCAGTTCTGGCTCAGCATTGTTTTGCCATTGCAGCACTTGGCCCATCAGTCTGATGTGTCAAAGAGGAGTGAAAACATACTACTTCTAAAAAAACAACAATGGTGCTTTTAAAAAGCTCATTACTGTCTTGGGGTTGGGTTACGTCTAATGCTCACACCATGCCAGACCTTTAATGTAATGTTTGCATGTTTTTACAGTGTTTGTAAATATCGAGTACACTTATGTTGCAAAGGAGCACGTATTTCTAAAACCTTGTTAATATTTACAGTTTATGTCTGTCATTTTAGATGACTATATAATGTTTTCTCACCTTTCCGGAACCACACTTTGTACCTGGCGGAACCAGAAGAGGATCCAGCCTTGCTGGTGCATTCAAATAATCCAAAGATATACATAAATGCTCGCGCACTTGGACGTAAAGAACAGCAGCAGCTTCTGATGGAAATGGAGTGCTGTACGGGTATGTGCAGATTAACTTTCCACATCTGAGATTCCTATAAAATCAATTTGCATAGGATGTGTATCACACACACATATATATGTGTATGCTCCCTGATCAAAGACTAGAAACATTTAAACAGCAGAACACAAATCTGGAGCACTGCATGATAAGAAAAAATGAGCAGGACTGGGAAGTCCAGGAGACGATCTGAGACATAAGGAGAGACACCATACTACTAACAAGGAGAACTCACATGTGACTGTCTATTTATTGCTTCACAAATCTTACTATCAACTGGAGTCTTGATACGTTCCTTGACTGTAAAGTCCCAATTAAATATGCATTTTTAGCAGAGCAAGCACCCTTTCCCTAGAGCATACCTCCAAGCACAGGACTTATAGCCTTGTCTGGGCTGGAACCCACAGTGTCCAAATCTGTCCCGCTGACTATTGAGCTCCTCGTAACAAGCCACAGGAGCATTTTTTGAACCTACAAGTTTAGCGATAATATTTATTATCATTTAAAGGAACACAAAGGGACATACCATGGTATATAATAACTTCTTAATTTTTCATCCTGTTCATAGCAGAGCTTAGATGCTGTTCACTAGTTAGAGAAAATGTAATACCTGTCCCTGAACTGCCAAACCCTCAGCAGTCCTGAACCCCAGAAACACAGGATTAGCAAACAGTAGGTTATCTCTCTGATTAAGTTCACTCACAGATAATAATTTGCTTTTTTTGTTGTTGTTTTCATAGTTATCTCTGAAGAATCGGAAGAACTACATGCTACTGAAGTGCATATTTACCAGAATCAAAACTCAGCTTGAAATGTTTTCCTAAAGCTGTGTCCTTCCCTCCTCGGGTGCCCCACTCCACCCCTCTGCCCTCCGTTCAGGTACTGCACCTACCCTTCCCAGGCACCACAGTCTCTGCTCTCCCTCCTGCCCACTAACTGCATGCACAAGGAGAAGCTGGGACACAAGGTACAAGTCTTCCAGAGTGCTGTGCCTCATCACTCCTATTAGATACGTGCAAGTGCAGTCCCTACAACCCCTCCTGCTTCAACAGGTACTTGAAATTGGGTTCAGGCTCATGAGGGAGGTATCAGAAACGAGTTACCAACCAACCACAAACCCTCATTTCCACGAAACGAGGCTAAAAAGACACAATGAGACCGACCTGAGATCGGTGCATTAAAGAGCAAAGACACAAACTGAGCATTGTTACTCCTGGGGCCACCTCCAGCATCTGGGCAGTACCAGCACAACCAGAGCAGCCTCTGCTACCTCTCCCGTAGAGCCGCCGGCACTGCAGGTCCGGAGACTGGCAGCGTCCCTTGTAGCAGTAGCCGGTGCCGTGCTCACAGCCGTGCCCGTCCTGCACGTACAGGTCGGGGGGGCAGGATGCGGAGGACCCGTTGCAGAACTCAGCCAGGTCGCACTGCGCGTCGGCGGCGGGGCGGCACAGCAAGTTTTTCTGCTTGAACTGGCAGAGGAGGCAGAAAGGACTCTTCTCTCCATCCTTTTGCACCCACCGGCATAGGGGTCCCCTCTCAGGCCCCACGCAGCCCCTCCCGACGCTGTCCAGAGACACATCCCCAGTCCCTCGGGATCACCTCTGAGGCACTTGGGTCACCACATGCACCTTACGCTGTCCAGGACTCTCTTCCCCCAGTAATATTCCCCCTGGGGGTTTCAGGGAGCTGAGCTGGAAAGCCCTTCCCCAGGAAGCACTCTGATCATAAGTTTGTCTCCATCCTTCAGCACAGGAACATACTAATTCTCCAAAAATAAATAACGATCTTGTGATAACAATAAAAACATGCCTTACCTGACATTCATTACAACAAAAACCAGAAGAGAGAAAATGCAGCACAAATATCATTAAATTTTTTTGGAGATGCCTGTCTGAGCAAAACCAGAAAGCTGGTTTGACAGTGCTATTGTAGAAACAACTACTGCTCCAAGGTTTAGAAATGGCCTTAACTTCTGATAATTATGAACATACCTTACCTGGCACTTTTCACAGCACAATCCCAAGGAGCACTTCACTCCTGGTTTGAAGTTACACTGGGGAGTACAGCATTTGTCTAACGCACAGGCCTGCAAACACACCAGAAATCATTATTTGTTGCAAATTTCCCCATCTGCAGGATGACTGCTTGCCCTGACCCCCATCCTCTTAACAAACAGTGCAGCTCAGAGGAGCCGAGGGAAGAGCAGGAACGCTGTGCTTCTGCGCATTACCGCAGAAATGCTTTATACACAACCTGAGACCACTTCTAGCTTACATCCACCCGCTCTCAGGACCAGAAGAAAGCACTGCCCTCCACCAGAGCGTGGCACCCACCTCCGCCGCCCCGCAGTCACACTGCTCGCCGGGCTCAATGACACCGTTGCCGCAGACAGCCGCACGATAGGAAGGCTGATGCAGAGCATGTCTGATGAAAGGGCAGTCCCTGTTCTGCTTCAGGAAGGTTTTAAAGTCCCCGATGCTGCAGCTGCTAAAGGCTTTCGCCCCGCTGACATGTCTAAAATAAAGCAATTATCCATACTTGTCTGTGTTAACACATCTACTGCCGTTCACTCTCTCAAAATCTCTGTGCAATTCCAGGACTTGCTCACATACTGGAACAAGGCGCAATGGTCCCCTGGGTGTCTTTCAGTTCACTTGCCAAACCTCGTTTTACAACACATTATTAACAGAGGCTGAGAAACATTCAGAAATACCCTGCTTTTGGAAAGAAAAGGTCTCTCTTCTCAATTTAAGCACTCAATTACTAATGTAATTATTCTTATTTTCCTTCCTGAAGGAATAAAAGCAGGTATTTCCGATTTGTTGTCATTTTTGCAACAGAATGACATTTGTCAAGGACACCCCTAAGGAGAGGACACCCCGCGATGATCCCCACCACACAATTGCGACCGCTTGGCCAGGTGGTGGGTGACACGCGGCTGCACGAGCCAGACGGGCACTGGCTCCCCATCTCCCCCAGTGCATCCTGCCCACCCACCTCAGCTGCCCCAGCCCCCGCAGCCCCCGCAGGGCACAGGCAACGCCGCGGGCAGGGACAGGACCCCACCAACTCACAGTGCCTCCGGGCTCATGAGGCAGACGCGCCCGGGGCAGCGGCAGTCTCGGGAGTCGTCGTAGCTTATGCCCAGGCTGCGTCCCAGCAGCTGCGCCAGGAGAACGGAGAAGGACTCCGGCGTCACGGCCCCTTGGTACTAGAGGGAGGAGAGAGCAGGGCTGCCGTGGAGGTGCCTTCCCTGCGGAGACCCCAGCAGACCCCAGCTCCAGCCCCGGATGCTCCCACCCGTCCCTGTCCCTGCTGCCCGTGGGCAAGCTCCAGCTTCACGGACACATGGGCCAGTGGGGGACCAGCAATACGTACCACAGCCACTGCGCCAGCAGCGTCTCTCTGACACACCTTTCCCGGAGCCGTTGCACCCACGAACGCTGCTTGGTCCCTGTACCTGAAACACACGCACGTACACCGGCCACCCGGCCCGGGACACCCCGGTCACTGTGGGTAAGTGGGGGATCCCGGGTTTGCACAGCCTGAGGCCCCCTCGGTCCCCACGGGCTGCCCCGCTGTCCCCCGGTGCCCCCGCCAGCCCACGGGAGCCGCTGGCAGGGCCTGTGTGCCGGCCAGTGCCAAGTGCCAGACAGGGACCGGGGCTGCAGATTTCCCATTGCCAGGGCAGCAGCGGAGCCTCTCCTCAGCCATGGGCTGCAGGGACAGGCGGCGCAACTGCATACGCTACATCACCAAAGGCTGGCTAGGAGGTACGTCCTGAAAGAAATACTTTCAGAATATTAAGGAATTAGGAAATATGTAAGAAATATGTTTCTTTTAAAAAAAAGCATTTTTCGTGGGAATCTTTGTAGTTCAACCTACATTGGTTTAACTGATTTCTACCATGTAACCTTTAACGAGTAAGAAAACCTTTATCTTACAGTAATAGATAAGCTATATCATACGATCCCAGAGCGAGATGTGACTGTTTCCACTGTAAAAATTGCTGTAGAAGGTCATCTGCTTCCCCTGCTGTCGATATTTTATTCTCCTCTGTCCACAGCTCCAGGGAGGACAGCACAATGGTAACATTAAGAGGATTAAACATCTGAAAGCATAACAGAGGAAACGCCTGCTCACATACCTTTCCTTCTGAGCAGAATTACAGCTCTATACACAAAAAATCACGTAGGAAAAGCCAATTGCTATTGTCAGTCACTGAATGACATCTGTATGACAAATAGAATGAACAAACCTAAAAAATAGAAAGATACGCCCAGAGGCACGAGATCAAAGCCTAATAACCAGTGGAGTGACGAACACCATTAGAAGTTGCTTATAAGCACCTGAGTGGAAACAGATTAATTGTACGGCTGATCAGTGAGACAAGATCTGCAGCACGGAGAGGGGAACAATCTAGGAAGCCTCAAAACGTTGGACGTCAGCTGCCTGAAGGCAAACTGCCTGCGTTTTTGTACATCTGCATGAGACATTGCCACCACATATGGAAGGATGCTAATTTGTAGCAGATTGACATATCTGGAGAAAAACTCCCCAGGAAACACTTTACAGGCTATAAATACCAGACAGCTTACTCCCGGTTCCTGTGAAAAGGCAATGGGGGACAGTGGCCAGGTCCTGCAAATTCCTACTCCATTCTGCTGAACAGCACTTCCCTTGATACCAACTTGTCACGGTTCATGACTTGCCCCAAGCAGCGAACCATAACTCTAGCACAGACCATACCCCCAGAGCCATTACAGCTTTGAAAAAGCATATTTTCACAATTGCTAAGCCAAACCTTTGTATTAGCCCACTGGGAGTAAACCCCTCGCCCACCTCTGACCAAGTCTGGACCAGGCTGCTGAGAAGCTAGGAGCTCCTGCCATCACAGCCAGAACATCGCGAGTCAAGACCTGGAATTTTTTACATAGCCTCCTCCTAAAACCAAAAGCAGCTGTGGCCAAAAAGCAAGCTGTGACCAAAAGCAGCAGTAGGTGGCCATTACTAACATCAACCCCTCCATCTTACTACAATACAAACCAGACTTTAAAACTTACATTGTTGACTAAATTGAAGACCTGGATTATCTTCTGTGTTGCAGCATTTGTATCTGAACCCATATAGTTGTACTGAAAAACAACCCAAGAGGACATAAGAGCAGACAAGGCATTTACCAAGATGAAGCAGAATGATGTTGAAACGCTGAAATGATTGCCAACATCCAGTCATGTAAATGTGAGCTACGAATTTTCATTCTTTCTTTCCTACAGAACCTACAATACACATAACTTTTCAGAAGGGAAAATAAATACATATAACAGCTGTGAAATGGCACCATTTCTATGCTCGTAGAAGTCAGGCAAACACAAGGAGAAAATGACTGGCACAGACTTACCAAAGCCTTGTCCAAAACTACGTACACTTTCAAGTATTTGGGAGATCGGGCTGCAGCTGATAGTGGCTGAAAAAGAAAATGGTCTCCAATGCTATTTATTTCTATGTTCTATAGTCACCTTATTCCTGAGGTTTGCTACGCTACTCAAGTGTCCATTCAAAAGCAATGCTTTGATGCTGTATCCAAATTAGCATAACGTAAGAAGCCATTCCCACTCAGCCATTTCTGACTTTTTTCAGAAGATGTTCTACCTTGGCGATGCCTTTCATAGGCACTAGATCAGTAACGATCCACGCGACACCCCATCGCAAGCACAGGCACTCCTAAACCTCCCCCATCTCTGTCCATCCAGACGGCTCCGGCCAAAGCTTCCTGCGGGATCGGACCCCTCCCCACGTGACGGGGACATCAGCACCCCCGAGACAACAGGCACACACTCACTTCGTCACCTCCACGTGCTTTGGT